AACCTCCGCCTCCTGGGTTCAGGCAATTCTCCTGCCTCAGCCTCCTGAGTAGCTGGGATTACAGGCACGTGCCACCATGCCCAGCTAATTTTTTGCAGTTTTAGTAGAGACGGGGTTTCCCCATGTTGACCAGGATGGTCCATCTTCAGTACACTTTAAGAGAGATAACCAAGGATACTGGGAAAACAATCAGACTATTTTCGTTTACATATCATAACCTACAGCTGATCAATTCGTTAGTCTTATTTTGACTTGTACAACCTTCCTGGTGTCAGGTCTTAGCCATGGGGCAATCTGGTGTTTGTCAGCTGCAACAAATGATAATCGAAATTTGTAGCCTACTCAGATTACATATTTAAAAAAATACACTTTGGAGGCATTATACAAACCTAGGTTCCAGCAGAATTTATTAAAAGTGGCAGACAAAGAACAAAATTATCAAAAGCATTTCTTCTCCAGCTATAAGAAGTTTTCATTACTATGACCTGATGAGCCACAAAAGCTGGAAAAATTAGACACATATTTAGGGGGAAAACCCTTAATTTAAAAAAGTAAGGGCAAATATAAATCCTTTGGAGTAGCACTTACTTTAATGCCTTTCACTAAAATAATTTGTGTCATATTTTCATTCATTTAATAGGCAAGCCCTGAATTATTTTTTCTGCTGACTCTATTCACTTCAACAGGCTTCCTACTCCAGTAGAATCGAAAAGATCAGTGGCCTTGTGTGGATGCCCTAAACAAGAGGGAAGTAAGATTTATTAAGTTCATGAAGAACATGTTTCTCTACTGAAAATGGCAGTTTCTATTTTTCCAAGTTCCATAGATAATTGAGTATACAGAACTTGTATACTTTTTTTCTTTTTCAATTGGTATCCTTGCCTTTTTTTGCCCTTTATTATACATATTATTAAACTTTACAGCCAAGAACTGCCAAAAGCCATAAAGCATTCATTCTTTCCTGAGATTAGAACAGGAAACGAAACATATTTATTTTCATCTAAAATAGTGATTCAGTACTCAAATTTCATATGAATCTACCTACACAGGTAGATGGGAAGCAACTTAGCAGCAATAGCATCAGAAAAGAAAGTTCTCATCCCCCAGGGCAGTTCACACTAATAATTAGAAAGAAAAAAGGAAAGCTGTGAATTACTATGAACTAAGACTAAATAAGTGTCCATGTTGGATTAAAGAATTTGAGTTGTCATTTTGATGTATAATGAATGTGAAAATCATCCATTTAATTAAATGGTACATGGTACAATCACTTTGTTCTGCATTAAACCACTGAAGTTATAGTGCTTTTAGTTTAGCAATTGTTTACTATTACACCACCCATGACTTCTCTCAGACACTGCTTAACCTACATTATTCTAAATGTGAAATCTGGAACTTATAAGAACATTATAGTAATGCTAGTTTAGTTGATATATTTCATCAATATATTAGTGCATATAGAAAATACAGGAATATGGGAAAACTTCTTTAAATCACAAAGGAATAAATTTCTAGATGTAATTGATGAAAAAATTAAAAACCAAGAACACAAAAAACTGCAAAAAGTCTTTACATAGACTAATTACTCAGACTTTTAAAGTATTTGCGAATCATGCCTACAACTACAAAATGTAAAAACACAAAAAAAGCAGTTCTTTTGTTTTTTGGTTTTTTTTTTTGAAGAAAAACTTGGAAATTTTATGAGTCAACAAGAACACCAAGGTCCCTGCAAACACATGAACAGGCTGGAGTTTATAAGCATGTGACTATGTTGTGATAGTGGGTGGGGTGGTCTATGAAAAGAAGAAAGAACAGAACAGTTAAGAAGGTCTTGGAAGCCAACTGAGACTGAAGAACAAGAAAAAAACATTCTGAGAATATAAGAAGAATGAGCTTGATTAGAAGGATTAAAACATTCATATTTGCTAACATTGAAGCCATATACTTACTGCTACTGCAATTCTTCCAAGGACATGTTCTGGGATTTTCCTATATACATCCAAAGATCCCCCTGTAGAGATAAACGTGCCATGTTACCACAAATGAAACTACCAGAGCAGTGCACTGGGCTCCTCCTCTGTGTACTCACTGTGAGAGTATGTTTCTACCCTTCTTACAACCACACATTGGATGTGTAGTATAAAACTTGTTTTTAGTCCATGTTACCTATAACATAATCATACTTCCTGATGAAGTATAACTAGATAATTCCATTTTATTCCTAAGTGTATAGTCACATACGTGAAAAACTGAAAGAAACTAGTCAAGGGCAAACTAAGAAACTACACTTTATGTCAACTTAAATACATACACAAAATCATAAAGATCAATATGGATAATGACATTTAAGTGCCTGCCTTTTTTAACAGTTTTGCTCAAATGTAAACCAGGGTACCATGTTAGAATTTTCATATTAACCCAACAAAAGCAAGAATACATGCAGAGAACCACTACTTCGTTCCTTAATGATATGATTATGAGATGTTTTAATAATATGTAATAACCTTTAAGAGTCAAATTGAAGTATATCAGTCTTTCAGTTCTATAACAAATTATTACAGAGTATTTGACAAATATTTTTTCCTATCAGAGGCTAAAATTCATATTTAACACTATATTACTGGTTGACGTATAAGTATGCCTCATAAGGTACTAAACATGAAGTATGTCATTCTTTTGAAATGCAAATGTGAATATTTTCATGTCAACTTTTTATAAAACTGAACATCAGAGAAAATATTATTTTTCTCTGTAAAAATTGTGAATGCATATATAAACCTATATGTATGCAAGTATACATATATATGCATATACACACATGCATATATATGTGGCTACTGGCTTTACATTTATCTTACTTAAAGCAGATAGAGAAAAATGATCACTCTTAGTTAACCTTTGCTTGTAGTTGCCAGATTTGAACAAGAAACTAGGAAACCACAGTGTAACTAAACATTACACTTTGGCTCTGGGTGCTACTGGGAAGATAATGAAAAAAAGACACTTCTGCTATGAACTGAACCATCCTTATTTACGAAAATAACATTTTTATTATAGGTGCAATAAAGTGAGAATACAGCAGAAAAACATTTTATGTTCTCATTGATCTTTCAGATAAATTGGCAGTTGCAAGGATAAATAAAATAAAAAAGATCAAGCTTTACATGCTGGCATTTGGAAGACTGACAAATGCAGCTTATTGGACCAATCCCTTATGAAGTGAATGATCTGACTGGCTCAAAACTAGGAGGTGAAAACCCATCCACATGTACCAGTAACAACTTCTAAGAGGACATTTATTTTTACCAAGGATATAAATCAGGGCTTACTTGACTAAATGGACAAAGGTTTCAACAAGCTAACCCCAAAAACCAAAGATTACTTGACCACCATTATCAGTAGAAGAAGCCAAAAAGGAATCTAATTTTGAGGTAGTTCATTGTTTTTTAACCTCAGTTAGACCCACTTTTCTTAACTATCCATATGGCTAAATGTTTGTTTGTTTGTTTGTTTTCCTTTTTTTGAGGTAGATTCTCCCTCTGTTGCCCAGGCTGGAGTACAGTGGTGAGATCTCGGCTCACCACAACCTCTGCCTCCCGTGTTCAAGCGATTCTCCTGCCTCAGCCTCCTAAGTAGCTGGGATTACAGGTGCTCGCCACCATGCCCGGCTAATTTTTGCATTTTTAGTATAGACGGGGTTTCACTCTGTTGGCCAGGCTGGTCTCAAACTCCTGACCTCATGATCTGCCTGCCTCAGCCTTCCAACATGCTGGGATTACAGGTGTGAGCCACTGTGCCCAGCCCCATATGGCTAAATCTTTACAGAGCTGGCTCTGTGACATCACTGATTCATCTTGTCCATTAGAGACTGATTCATGTCCATTAGAGATAAATGTCATAGGTGAAAAAATAATGCAGCAGATCCACTCAGAATTAAGAGTTCCTTGGTCAGGCACAGTGGCTCACACCTGTAATCTCAGCACTTTGGGAAGCCAAGGCGGGTGGATCACGAGGTCAGAAGTTCAAGACCAGCCTGGCCAAGATGGTGAAAGTCTGTTTCTACTAAAAATACAAAACTTAGCAGGGCACGGTGGCAGGCACCTGTAATCTCAGCTACTCAGGAGGCTGTGGTAGGGGAATTGCTTCAACCCAGGCAGCAGAGGTTACAGTGAGCCCAGAGCACGCCACTGCACTCCAGCCTGGGAGATAGAGTGAGACTCTGTCACAAAAAAAAAAAAAAAGAGTTTCTGTTAAGTTTGATGAGTTCTTTTTCTGCGATTCAGTTAATTCTTATCAGGCTAAAAGTGGCAGGGGGTTGGTTTAATTTTTCTCTGTTTTATTATCATTTCTATTCTACAGGTCTATCCAAAAATGCAACTCTTAGACCTATCAAACATTAGTGCAGGAAAGGACATTAAAGATCAATCCGGCCAGGCGTGGTGGCTCACGCCTGTAATCCCAGCACTTTGGGAGGCCAACGCAGGTGGATCACCTGAGGTTAAGTGTTCGAGACCAGCCTGGCTAATACAGTGAAACCCCATCTCTACTAAAAATACAAAAATTAGCCGAGTGTGGTGGTGGACACTGTAATCTCAGCTACTAAGGAGGCTGAGGCAGAAGAATTGCTTGAACCCAGGAGGTGGAGGTTGCAGTAAGCTGAGATCGCGCCACTGCACTCCAGCCTGGGTAACAAGAGTAAGACTTCCTCTCAAAAAAAGCATCATTCCAGCAACTTTATTTGATAGGTTGGGAAAACAGTCCCAGCAAGGTGAATGTTCTAGGTAAAGCCCGAGTCAACCGATAGCAGAGCTCAGAGAAGACCTGAACCTTTGAAGTGTCATAAGTTAGAGATTTAAAAGGTGGCTAGGCACAGTGTCTCTCACCTGTAATCCCAGCACTTTGGAAGGCCAAGACGTGTGGATCACGTGAGGTCAGGAGTTTGAGACCAGCCTAGGAAACATGGCAAAACCTTGTCTCTACCAAAAATACAAAAATTAGCTGGGGATGGTGGCACACACGTGTAAAACCCAGTTACTTAGGAGGCTGAGGCAGAAGAATCACTTGAATTTGGGAGATGAAGGCTGCAGTGAGCAGATTGCATCACTGCACTCCAGCCTGGGTGACAGAGCGAGATATTGTCTCAAAATAAATAAATAAATAAATAAATAAAATTTAAAAAAAGATTTAAAAGGTTTCCTCATGATGCGACATAGCTTGAGAATCACGTAAACTTTCTGTAGTTTAAAAAGTCTCATGCAATGTGATACTATGACATACATTGACAGAATTTAATTTTAGCTGAGATGGTGGTATTCAAGGCATTTAGAAACTCATTCATTTGTGGCGTGGTAGGTTTGAACTTTTTTCTTGAGATTCCAAGGTTACTGGTTTGTTCCCTGTGGCCTGTCACTTTTCTTTGTTCCCAGAAGTAACCAAATAGAAATTCTGAAGTTGAAAAGTATAATAAGTGAAAATTTATTAGAGAGGATCAACAGTGTATTAGAGAAAGCAGAAGGAATGATCAAGGGAGGTAAAGAAAGGTCAATTGAGATTGTCCTGTCTGATGATGAAAACAAAAGAAAATGAAGACAAATGAACACACTCTCAGAGACTTGTAGCATACTATCCAGCATACCAACATATGCATAATGGGAGATCAGCAAGAGAGGAGAAAAGGGAAGGAGCAGAAAGAATATTTGAGGAAATAATGACCCCAAACTTCTTAAATTTAGTTTTAAAAAGTGAATCTATACATCCAAGAAGCTCAATATACTTCACATAGGATAAACTCAAAGAGATCCATACCTATATATATTATTATCGAATTATCTACAGCCAAAGACAAAAGAAAATCTTGAAAGCAGCAAGATAAGTGACATGTCAATTATAAATAATCCTCAAAAAGATCAAGAGCTGATTATTCATCAGAAACCACAAAGGTCAGGTCAGAGGCAGGGGAATGACATATTTGAACAGCTGAAAGAAGAAGAATGTAAACCAAAAATTCTATATCCAGCAAAAAACTATTCTACAAAACTGAAGGAGAAATTAAGGCACTCTCAAATAAACTGGGAAATTTATCTCAGAATATTGAGAATCAATCAATAGTTGACCTACCCTACAAGAAATAAAATACAATCTTTCAGACTAAAGGAACTTTAGACTGAACTTAAAAGACTCAAAAAGAAATAAAGAACACGGTAAAGGTAACTGCATACATAAATATAAAAGACAGGATAAATGTATGTTTTGTTTGTATCTCTTTTGTTCTCCTATATGATTTAAGAGACAATTGCATAATTTTAAATTTGTGTTAGATACACAATATGTAAGAATGTCACTTATATGACAATAACAGCATAAAAGAGATGAGAAGAAATTGAGCTATATAGAAGTAAAGTTTTTGTATACTATTAAAATAAAGTAAAATTAGTGCTAATCTGAATTAAATTGTTGTAAGTTAAGAAGTTAATTGCAATCCCTAGGGCAACATTAAGACTATAACTCAAAAAAAAATAGAATAAAAGAAACCATGGAAAATTTAAATGGTACATTAGAAAATATCTATTTTACATAAAAGAAAGCAATAACAGAAGAACATGAAAGGCACGACTTATAGAAAATACATAGAATGGGGATATAAATCTCACCTTGCTAGTAATTAAATAAATGTGAATGGTTTAAGCATTCTAATTAAATAAGAGATTGGCAGAATTAATTATTTAAAAAAATGATCCAACTACATGCTGTCTACAACAGAGGTACTTTAAAGACACAAACAGGTTAAAAAATGATGGAAAATGATATACCATTTAAACAGTAATCAACAGGGAGCTGGAGTGATATACTAGTGGAAAAAATAGACTTTTAGATACCTATTGTTAAATGTTGTTACTATAAGACAAACACATTTTGTAATGACAAAAGGATCCATCCACCAAGAAGCTATAACAATTATAACCTACATTAAATAAGAAGAAAGGTCTCAAATCAGTGTCCTAACTTTCTACC